TACACATACACATACACGCACACACACAAACACACACACACACAAACATAGACAAACACTCGTCAATATGCGTTTCCTGTATTGCATAGCTGCAAAAAACGCATAAAAACGTATAAAGACTAACTAACTGCCATGTATGGTCTGCATCCTGCTTCACGCGACTGCGCCACAGAATTCACAAGGTAACCGGATATCCCAAAATCACAAAGCTTTATATGCCCACGCAAATTTAACAAAATATTCGATGGCTTAACATCTGAAACAATAAACAGTGGCGCGCGCCAGGGTGGCTGGCGCGATCAAGCGTTTTGCACAACTCTGCCCAGCAGACGTTTATGCGTCTCTGTCAAAGTGAACCTTGCCGTTAGAAGTGTTCACTGCTTTACTGTTTGGTACAGAAATATTTGTGGTTTTCGAGTTACTAACTAAGGCGCTAAAGTCTTCGCGTGTTAGAACGCGGGATCTAGGTGAGCGCTAGGAGTGAATTTATATGCAGGCAAGGAACACTATTCTGGAGTTCGAGCTGTTTAACTTTCCTAGCTTCCAAGTGATTAATTCTGGCGCTAAAATTTTCATGTGCCCGCAAATGACAAGCAAGCATGCGCGGGGACTGAATTTATACACAGGCAGAAAGCATTCTGAAATTTCAGCTTCCTAGCTTTTCTGATTCCTGAAGCCATAATTTCTGCGTCAAAACCTTCACATGCCCGCACGTGGGGCCTAAACATAAGTGAAGGCTGATTTTAAGTCTACAGTGTCGGGCGTAGGCAGGGAAGACCCTGCTAAAATTTCAGCCCCGTAGCTTCTGTGGCTCTCGAAGTATTAATTTTAGCGCCAAACTTTCACGTATTTCTACAGAAGACTTGGGCATGCGCGAGGTGAATTTGAGATTCTGGGGTTATATGAAGGATGTGATCTTATTCGTAAAATTCCAGCTTCATAGTTTTCCTGGTTCCCGATTTAATTTTCGCGCTGGAACTTTCACACAACCGAACGCAAAGTCCAGGCGCGTGTGAAGGCTGTATTTCACCTTGTAGGATCACACGCGGACAAAGTAAATTCTCCTAAAATTTCAGCTTCGCAGCCCTTATGGTTCCTCTAAAACTTTCACGTGCCCGTAAGAACTAAGCGTGTGCGAGTAATGGATTTATACACAGGAAGGAAATATTATCCAAAAATTCCAGCCCCCGAGCTTTTACGGTTCCTAAGTTATTAATTTTGGCACCAAAAGTTCCACATATCTATACTGAGAACCAGACGTGCGCTGGGA